GGGTGTACCATGGGTTCCTAAGAAAGAGAGGGGTGCTATGCGTTGGGTAAGGGACCCTCCTTGTTTGGTTCTTCAGTGGGTGGATAGCAAAGTAGTATCATTGTTATCAACGATAGAGAGAGCTAATGATCATGGTTTTGTCAACAGGAAAAGAAAGGATGATGATGTGTGGGCCATAAGGGAAGTACAACAACCTAAAGTTATTGCTAATTACAATAAATATATGAATGGGGTCGACCACTCTGATAAAATTCTAGCCACAAATACCGTACTACATAAGATCATGAAGTGGTGGAAAAATATGGTTTTCCACCTAATTGACATGGCTGTAGTCAATGGCTTTATCCTTTTCAAAGAGCATCAGACTCAGTTTCCTGACGATGAAGCTCTAAAAAGGCCCTCTCATTCTTCTTTGAGTGATTACCGGGAAGAAATTGTTAGGCAACTCTGTGGTTTCCCCGATTATGGTAGCCCCCCAGAGAATACCACGGTAAAGTCACCCCCTTCCACCCCAGAGGATTTTACAACTGTCCATATTTCAGTTTTCTCTGACACTCAGAGACGCTGGGTGGTATGTTACAAAGAGGGTAAGGGAGATTTTAGGGTTCGATCTTATTGCAATGCCCCTCAATGTCAAAAGTATATGCATGTCAGTAAGGGTTGGGATTGTTTTGCAGTGTTTCATTCTAAGAATTACCACAGGTAAATTTTGCTGTTGTTTATTCCAATGTTTTTAGATGTTGTGTTTCTCAAAAATATCAACAACAAAAAATTAACAATTAAAAAATATCAACAAAAAAATTAACTTTTTTTTCCTTGTTGCTTTTATCTTTGTCAGTGGGAATAGTTGTGATTTGGTCCTAGTTTTCTCAGGAAGGACCCTCTTTAGTTGGTAGGGATGTTAAAAGGCAAATTCATTCACCCAGTAACACATCAGGGCCTACCCATCCTCCTGTTATAAAGTCGAATTTCCCAACACATTTTTTTTCCTACTAACTTTTTTGGAATGACATGGATGCACATAAAAATTCATAAAAAATTCATTATTTATTCTTTTTCTTTCAGATTTTCAGGAAATTTTGTTGACATATTAATAATTTACTTCTCCTATCAATTAATCTTAAATAACCTATACCTGTGAGGGAAAGTGACTTTGAGACAGACACCTCTAGGTGAAAATGATAACTTCCTTCTCAAGAAATCAATGGATGTGATAGATATAAGTGAATGGCTCGACATCAAATTGTATTTAAACTACACAAGATCTAACACATAAATACATTCTCCATATCATAAGTAATTATAGTTCACATCTTAATCTCTGCTTATTGTATCCTTGAGCATTTTGGTAACGAAAGTTAGTAATAGAATTTCTTATGGCCGATGCGCAGTCAAAGGTTAGAAAATGACCAAGATTTCGGCAAGGAATGTTTACTTTGTACACGTGCCACTCCAACTATACTCCACGTAGCCGGCAGCCAGCTACGCGGTACGCAGAAACTTATTAACTCTAATGTAAGTTCAAGTTAGTATGTAATATATTCAAAATGCCGTGGCAATGTTATATGCTGACTACACGGTACATGGTATGCAGTGAGAGAAAAAGCTCATTCAATGGTATTTCTCGTTCTAAAAACGTGACAACCCCAACATCATCTCTCGTTCTTAAAACGTGGCACCCGAATAATTCACTTTTAAAGAGACTATAACTTTCGCGCTACTTCCACGAAAACCGCGAAGAACCCGCATCCGTCTTTCATATTCATTAGTCACTGCTGTGTACCGCGTACAGCGTAGCCATCGAAAAATATAACTTCCGGTCTCTGTTTTTACCATTTGAGGTAATTTCCTTCGAAGAATTAATTATTACAAACGTTTCTTTTCGTTTCAGCTTATTACCTTCTTTTAGAAGCTTTGTTTGTGGCTGGTTTTGTTTTGGCAGTTGCCTTTTCATTGCATTTTGTTTTGCCCGGCCAGATTCGCCCTGTTGAGAGGGAAAGGGATCGTTGGCAAGAGAGGGCCAAGCAGCTACAGCAGATGCTCGACCTTCAATTGCAACCACAACCTCCGGCCTACCCTCCTCCTCCTCCGTACCAATCCTACTTATCCGAGGAGGAAATGGTCTAGATTGCATAGACGATAACACTATTCTTTTTTATAAGAATACTGTTTTTCTACCCAGGCTGAATAAGAGAGAGAGAGAGAGCTGCTAGATATCCTGAACAAACATAATTTCTCAGATAATGACATAACAGAATTTGAAACCAAGGTTAGAAAAGACAGTAAACATACAAGCACAATCCTGCTCGTACACTTGCCAATATGTTTGTTTGTTTTTTAGCTTCTAGCTATTATGTGCACTTGTGTTACTCTCACTTTAAATGGGTTTTCATCATCATCATGTAACTAAAGAAGTTTGTTTTCTCTTGCAGGCACAAAGGTGGGGAAAACAGATAATGGATATGTCTGGCACCGGTCCTGGGTATTCTCAGACCATAATCATCACCCCATACATGCACAACTTGGTGTACCATGTCCCAGTAATGTTGCAAAAACATGAAAGTCTTAAAATGTTTAGTGGCCAAAGTACAAATCTTTTCTTTACTCTAGTGATCCATTGCAATAGTACTCAAGATATATTTATTTTTTGGCATTTGTTTGACATTGTAAGAGGCCAGTCATGTTTCTAATTTTAATGTTCATTTCACAAAATACACTGCAAAACAATGAATCATGTCATCTACACTGACAAAAAAATTTCGCAACAGGTGCAGAGATGAAGAATGATGATTTCCGGCACCAATTTCACAATAATATCAACAGATGGAATGCTGCTACAAACCTTTTGCTTATGGAAAAAAGGCAGGATGAGCTGCGGGACATGGAAAGAGTAAAGTGGCAGTATAAGAAGAGGGACAGCTCCTATTGGAATGATGGTGCCAAGCAGGCGGCAGCAAAGAAAGTTGCCAGAATTTCAACCTCAGTTCCACCAGCTACTCCATTCCCACCAGCAATGACTGAAAGTCAACTAAGAAAGAACTCATAGCCCTTCTTAAGCAGAGAACAGGGAAGAGACTCCACGCCAAAACAAGAAAACAAGATCTAATAAATACTTTGCAGAGCTAAGACACCCTGCCCAGATCTGAGTAACCCTGTATTGCTTACTCAAAACAAAAACGCCTCCTTTAGGTGCCACCCAGTCTGCTAAAATCAATGACCAACAAAAGAGTTTTAAAGTGATCACTTGTTTCTTCTTGGACTGTACGGGAATCCAATTGTCCAAGCCCTTGAGTTTTCAAGGCTTATTCAAAGCTATTTCTTTCACCCCAAGTAAATATTTCAAGTGCAGACAAGAATGTAAGGTGAAAAAAAAATTGCATTTATCATGGCGAATGTGTCAATATTATCCAAGTAGAAAGGAAATTATTCCTACCCAAGTAAACTTCATGTCGCTAGCCACTACCACCATTTTCTTCTTCTAATGTAAAATTAGAAGTGCACGCAGACAATCCTGTTGAATGACCGCATGAACCACAGGACTTCTGCCCAGGCCCTTCCAGAAAGTGTCAAATTTTTGGCGTATTTCTCGCCGCCACAACTGATAACTGAAAGAAGCACAGGCGAAAACTGCCAAAGGAGATGTCTGGTTCGGGCAAAAATGATCACTCTAGATCTCCGAGTCTCACAATAAGACAGTTTCTTTGCAATCCCAGGCACCATATTTATGTAGGCTAGTGTAAATTTAAAATATGCATATATGGTGTGATAAATTAAGTCAGCTTTAGTTGGGGTTGCTGTTTTGAGACCTTCAGTGTACCTTCGGCCAGGGACTACGCCGAATGCAACGAGACAAAAGCTGGGATTGCCAATCACCTGGCGTTTGGGAACACTCATGCGAATGATGCAAATGATGACTGGATCAATGTTGCTAGCACTGGATCTCACAGCACAAAGGTTCTGCATTTACCATCCAAGTCAACATGCCCAATAGTCAAACAGACCTACCTATGGGAACCAGAAGCCCTGTTACAACAAAGTATGATGTCAAATGCCCACTGCGTAAAGCGAGTCAATAGCTGCCACAATTCAGAGGTAAAACGGTCAAGGTTGTACGCAGCAGAGGACTGTGCAACAACTGTCTTAGAACTGAAAACGTGGCAATGTTCTGCCCTAAGGAAAGCTACTGCCAGATTGCTGGATGTAAAATAAGCCATCGAAAGCATTTCACATTTCAGCACCCCAGAGGTGACAAACCAGTCAAGATGGAATCACCCGCAGCATCTGAGGCCCAGCCAAGCAATGCACAAAATGACAGACCGAATGATGAAGCACTAAGGTGTTTCATGGAAGTAGTTATATGTGAGAGCCTGTGTAGTGCTACTGCAGCCAGTATGAACGTTTGTAAAATTTCCCAAACACTCGCCTATATCTTATCCTGTCTGGAACAAAAAGAATACTAATGGCTCTTAAAGCCAAGTCAAGGAATTTACAAGTCTCCTCGGGTCCCAGAAAAAGAAACTCTTGAGTGGATTGCCCTCTAGCCTTTGCGAATTCCTATACCCAAATACATGTGCAACAGTTGAACAACTGTGGGTTGATTTTTGCCACGTGTATGATAAGATCTCTGATTTTAACCTCACCAACACTTCTACTTATGACATATTTGTTGATGCAAAGGCTTGGATTGAACACATACATGTACATGGAAAGGGTTTAGGATGATGAAATATCTAATGAAATCCCCACCCACCACTCAATATTATAATAAGATGACAATTGCACAACTAAGAGAAGTCATCAAAAGAAAAGGACTGAAAGTGAAAAATGTAACTAAATTTAAAAAAAAAAATCTTCTGGCTCTTATCGAAAATTCCCATGTATAATAAATATATTCTGCAAGCATTGCCAAGACTTCATCTCTACTAGAGCATACAGGCAGCATTTAGATCTTTCCTACAACAAAAAAAATTGGTCAATGGAATATTCGACAGATTTGAGAAGAGTCTTCAGATGAGGAAAGAAGCAAACCTGTAGATCTTGATATGTGTGCTAAAGAAGTGAACCAGATGCACGATGATTGCATTCAAAGACCAGTGGTAATGGCAAGTTGTGATGGAGACAGCATTTCTGAACCAGGTATATCATGGTATTTTTTTTAGGCTAACTGTACTAACTGTAGAGGATTGCCTAACTGTCACACCTTGCTTTTTACTATTAAATAGGGGTTTCCCATTTATGACTATGGCTCATTTGTCAGTTAACAGTAAACAAGGCAATGCATTGGCTAAAAAGTAGCAAATAATACAATTTTCTTTGCTTCTTTCCTTATTATTCTAAATGAAACAGCAGATAAACAAGCTCTAGATAAGCTTATCTCAACAAATGAGTGCAAAATTTCACATTGGTATGCTACAATTGGACACATTTATACATTATAGGATGACATTTGAAATAATTTTTTTACATGTTCAATTTATTTATGCTATTTATTATTTTGAGTTTTGTTTTAGGTCTTGAATAGGAGTCTTTACTTAGTGGGTAACTACTATATGTATTAGAACAGAAATAAAGTTATTATTACGACATTTATTACTATTTAAATCAAGAGTTTCAAACAGTTTTTTGTGGTTTGTATAAACAGTTATGTTGCCTCTATATGATAGGTCACCCAGTGTCTACCCAAACTGTCTTAGAAGAGACATTCTTGCCAAGTCAACCATCATTTCTTTTCATGTTATGGGGAGCACTTATGGACATGTTCTTGTTTGGCCAAATTTTAACACAAATTGCTTCTTTGTCAACTCTTTGTCGCGAGCGGAATAGAACCATTTCAGGTCATACCGACATATTACCCTGGAGAGGAACCTCCTCAGGAAGAGAATGTAGAACAGAAGGCAGAAGCCCAAGAAGAACACACTAGTTCGAGGATGGGAAACACCATGTTCGTGCGGTGCTTGTGTGCTTATGCGCTTATGCCAGTGGCAAATGAATGTCACTGCTGCCGAGAACTAGAGGAGCTTAATCAGAAGTGCAACAATTCAGGTTTGACTTATTATGTGATTATTCTCACGAGTATTCTGTTTGAGGCAGCCACTTCTAAGCTAAGAGTGACAAAAGGTCACCTACAAGGTCTGATGGATGAGAATTATTGAAAGTGAGGGAAAGAAAATTTTAAGACATTTTCTCTTCTTTTTGGGTACTGATAGGTGTTAGATTTATAACAGAACATCCAAAATTTTGCATTGTATGCTTGGACACGGGTGTTTTAAGCACAGCATTGGTCGTAATCCAGAATGCACGGCTCAATCCAATTCCCGACCCTATCATCAACAGGTCACGGTCTTTTTCTTTCTTTTTCTGTAAGCGTAATTAAGTCAATCACTTTTGTGACATTATATCATCTTGTTCTCTAGAACTTGGCGTTTGGCAGGCTACAGACAGTTTACTTGTGGGGCACATGGGCTTTAGGGAAAAAAACCGGCAGAGAATCATCCCAGCATGCATCGCCACGGCCATACTGAAAACATTTCCTGAAGAGAGTGGCAATTATGTGGGGTTTTGAGAGGCAGATTTTGACTTTTGAACTTTATCCATAAACATCCTTTAATAATTATTAGTGGCATATCTTTTGCTAGTATAACATCAGAAGCTCCTATTTCCTTACATTCCTTTTTAAAATTTGCATAAAATATACAATTACTCCTCAAGGATATGAATTACTGACACATTCTGCATAGTGATTCACTCAAAAGCCATGCAGAGCCAAATAAATGTCATCCTTACTGCAGTTATTAAATTATCCACATTGCCAGGAATAACTAAGTGGCCTGTAATTGACATGGATTTAATTACCTGTCGATATTTGTCATTCTGATAATGTATATATTTTAAAGTCTAGAGTTAAGAAATTTATTAGTGATCCTTAAGCATTTTTCCTGAGGAGGAGGATCAAAGATCTGGGTCATTGCCATAAGCCCCATTTGTCTTAACAAAGGAGCAAATTGAAGACGCTGACAGAAGTTTTCATCAGTTAATGGAAACCTTTAGTTTTGTTATTCTTCTAACTATGCTTATAGGTTGCAGTTCAAGGGGTGCTCAAATACGGTGTGAGTGGTATGCTCAGAGAGAGACAACAGGAAGCTTTCGGGGCACTCCCCATTTTAATGAGTAATACTGTTTTTCATACTCTTTAGTTATGCTGACCTCAGTGTCAGGGAACTTTCTGGAACGTTTTGGGGTTTTAAAAGAGTTGGTTGAAATGTGCTACAGTCAATTATCTCTTACTGGACCACCATCAGTGCACAAGAATGTTGTTACTTATTGGCATAACTTGCAAAATAAGCCACACACTTGAATCTATTGACCAGTTCAAAAGATATTGGCTAAAACTGGGCAGTTAAATGAAGCTACTCCCTTAGCTTAAGCGAGTCTTTGAAAGAATGTTTTAGGAGAAAACAAGGAGTAATTTACAAAGTATTAAATATGGTAGGTGCTTGCCTTCAAGAAATCCTCACTTCCAGGGTGTCAACTGTGTACACATCTCTAACAATTGTTGTTGATACACATAGTGCAAAATTGATTGAAAGTTGATCAACACTTTATCTAAAATCAGATAAAGTTTTTTTTTTTTAAAAAAGTTTTTTTTCGTATATTTTTGAATGGTACCAGTTCATGGAAATGTCTGGAGTGATGAAAGATAACTTGCCCTTTAAACTGCCATCTACAGAGGAAATTGCCACCGGCAATTCCTCACAGGAGAATTCAATATTGCACCCTGTTATCAATAAATCCAGCAATAACCTCAAGCAGATGGAAAAAAAACTACAAAGGAAAAAATTCATCATCAAATTGAGTGAATGGAGCAAGAAAAGCCCACTGGAAACAAAGGCTAACAAAGTTTCCCAAACCCATTTCACAATGGAGACCTCAAGAAGGCAAGTTGGAAGCACAGGCTGAAGAGGTGCTGTTGCAACACAGCAGTTTGGGGAAATTGGGCAAAGTTTTCCACACTCTTTTACCTCAAAAAAGTGCATGTGGGTTGCAGTGAATACATTTAAGGAGGAACAATTTAATGCCAAGGGCGGTTTTAATTGGGAAGAGAATGCCATAGATCAGCAAATGGTTATTCTTCTTCCCAATGTTTCACCTCCTCCCACAGTGGCAACACAGGGCTCTACCATCTGGTTTCTCAATGAACCAACATTTAATTTGTAAATGTGGGGATATATTTCCTTGGTTGACTGCTGGGCGTTAAGCCTTTGATAGGAAGTTGCACAACAAAGCTGGCGGTACTTCAAGCGGTACCTTCAGTGAGTCTGATACATTGCTGCACATGGAAATGCCGAAAGAGGTGAGATTGCCCTCTCTTTCCTCAATATGCTACTAACAATACTCCTAAAGAGGAAGAATACCTCCTGACAAATAGGACAACACAAAGTCTTGTTACCAATAAATCATAAGCAGAACAATTTCTGAGAAAAAGGAATAAATTTCTTCAAGAAGGGCTTTTGATATCCACAGAGCCATTGTTTAGAATATAAAATTCTCGTGGAAATTTCTCAGAATTTTAGAGTAAGTGGTTGTTTTTTATGGTTATTGTAATCAATTCTGTGGATGGCGGATTCAGTTGAGTGCACGTGGTGTGATTTGCTTCTGCAACTGTCGGATTACAGAATAATAACATGAGAGAATATAGCAGGAGATACAACAATCACATTTGAGATTGTAATGGTTATGATTGTTAATAATAACTTACCTAGTAATCTACAAAAAGATATGTCATTGTTTACAACTGTCATAATTTTGAGATTTCTTGTACGTTTTACGTTAACTTAGACCACCTGGGATAGCGTATGACAATTATTTAGCACTGTACACCAAAACTCCTTCAGAGGATAAATTTATAACAAATCAGTTCTACAGGTTATGAAAGTCATCTTATCAATGATAAATCAGGGATCGTGATGAACTCATCAACACCTCTTTTAAAGGCCTATGAATATATCATTGAAATTCATGGGCCACAAGTTCAATACATCCATGTATGGATTTCAGGGAATATTCATGGCCCATTATCTTTGTTCTCCCAAAACAAATGTATTGTTAGCCCAAAAATGCTCACTGATTGGAAATCATGGGTCTAAACCCTAATTCATGGAAAGTGCAGGGCTTAAATAACCAAAGCCAACGCTAAAAGAGAGATGCAATGATCTATGTAAACGACTCTTTGATTCAATCGCCAACAACTCGGGGCATAAACTACACAACTTACTGCCTCCAAGAAATGACCAAAGCTACTGCCTGCGACATCAGAGAACATATAATCTACCATGCTCACGCACAGAGCGCTTTAGACAGTCCTTTGTGTATGCAATGTCCAAAGATGCCTAGCAACAAACAACGCGTAGTACTTAGCTAGTAACTATACATATTTTAATCCCATTAGATACTTATATTTTTATATCATGTACATATGTTTGTGATTAGTTTTAACATTTGCCTATTTATATATTTCTCTGTGAAATACGCAATTCAGTCTAATGACTGCGATGTATTTGTGAATAAACAGTCTATCTATCAACCACTATCCATCTATCTATCAACCACATGAATTTCCATTTTGCAGCAATCAATAATTTCAAGGCCTTGGCATTTGACAAGTTCACTATAAAAGCAATCAATCCGAATAGTTATAAATACTTTCATTAAACAGTGCCCAGCTTTTGATTGGTCCCTACAGTAGTGTTTCTGACAGCTGTTGGTTACTATAGGATATCGAATTAAGTGTACAAATAAGGGGCATGTGATTTTGACTCGAGAGGGTTTTGCACGATAGTTTTGAGTGGAATAAATCGAATTTGGGACAAAAACGACCACGCCTTCTTCGTGTTTCTAACAGTATTGATGAGTTAGGCCATGCTGCAGGTTGTGCAATGACCAGTTTCTGCACCCTTGTTTCTTGTTTTGTCTGGTCCCGTAAGAATGTACAAACATTTTTGGTTCAATAAAAGGGAACTCTTTTGCCTCAAATAACTCTTATGCTTTTTTCTTCCTTAGCAACCACAGCTAAGTGGTTACGTATCTACAAAAAATAGTATGGTCCATAAACAAGATGGTTTTGACTCAGACATCAAAGGATTCCAAAAATGAAAAGGACAAAGCTACTTCAGAAGCCAGATAATGACAAATATCATTTGAGAAACATCATCATTGAGGATAAAGAAGAGGAGGCAGATAATGACAATGTAAGAGCATCGGGAAGGCCACATAACTATCTTTTTAATCATTTGAAATGGACAGAAGGATCGTAAGATGTACAAGCACTTCCTGAGTTTAACCCCTAAGGGACGAACGACGGCCACAGACGTCGAAAATTAGTCACCTCTTTTTGTTGTTACTTTCAGTCTGACCGTGGGGAATTGGGAAAAATCTGTTGTTAAACCGCTGGTTGATGTAATAAGGCTCATTTCTGTGAAAACAACTCTGCGAAACTCAAAATAGGCGATTTTTAGCGAATATTTCACTTTGTTACTTGAATATTTCGCGTCGGCCCTTTAAATATGGCGTCGCCATATGTTCAGCTTGTACTTTGCTAGCAAAATAATTCGAAATGGCAGCTGCAGAGCCGACTGGATTGACTTTTGTGGTTTCAGACGATCTTCCTGTAGCATTCCTTCGTATTGCCCACGTGGATTCTGACAACGAAGCGCCCTCTGATGTCGATAGCAGCAAAGAAGGAGAACCTGCAGATGAAAGTGGGGAAGAAAGCGATGAGTGCGAGGATACTGAGGAGTGTGACTACTCAAATTTAATGTGGTCATCCGTGATACGACCTCCACAAGACAGAAACTTCAATGAAGAGGTTGGTATGAGAGTAAAAATGGAAAACAACAGCAGTTGTCTTAACTATTTTGAACTGCTCTTCACTGATAATGTTTACCAGCTGATTTTGAATGAGACCGCGAGATTTGAACGCCAAAAACGTCATCTTGATCCAAATTCAAGAGGTCATCTCCACAATTTGACTGTTCCAGAACTGAAGGCATGGCTTGGTCTCACCTTAGCAATGGGCTTAGTGAAAAAACCCAACTTAAAGTCTTACTGGTGTAATAAATCAGTTATCAAGACTCCATTGTTTCCAAACACAATGTCGAGAGATCGCTACCTTCATATTCTGCGGTTTATGCACTTTGTTGACAACAACAATGCTACAGACCCTGCTGACCCTAATAGAGATAAACTGTGGAAAATCAGGCCATTTTTGAATGCTTTGCTTCCAAGATTTACCACAGTTTATTCACCATCACAGAATTTGTCTGTGGATGAGACTCTTATCAAGTTCAAGGGACGTGTACAATTTAGGCAGTTTTTGCCTTTGAAAAGAAGCCAATTTGGGCTAAAAGGTTTTGTCGTAGCAGATTCTGCAACTAGCTATGTCCTTGACACTATGATTTACACTGGCAAGGAAGGTCCTGCAGTCAGCAGAGACTTGGCCATGCATGTTGTCCTCAAGCTAGTGGAGCCTTACATTGATAAAGGATACCAGCTGTTTGTTGACAACTGGTACACCAGTGTACCGCTCTTTTTGGAGTTGGAAAGAAGAGGGATATTAGCTTGTGGGACTGTGAGGGGGAACAGGAAATTCCTGCTAAAGGACATTGTTGACCAGACAAAAGAACAGGTCAAAAGACTAAAGAGAGGAGAATCCCTCTTTCGACAAAACAACAACTTAGTTTGTGTCACCTGGAAAGACAAGAAGCTTCTCCACCTGCTGTCAACTATTCCTGAGGGTTAAGAAATTGGTCAGGTGGAAAGGAAAGTCAGATCCAAAGGTCGGTGGCAAAAACAGAACTTTGCACAACCAAAGGTAATGAAAATGTACAATTCCCATATGGGGGGAGTTGATTTGGGTGATCAACGGATAGCAACCTGCTCCAGGCTTATGAAGGGAAATATTTGGTATTACAAAATTTTCTTTCATATGCTTGAAGTATCTGCACTAAATGCACACATTATGTACAAGAGAGCTGGGCATGGAAATGTCACCCTAGCTGCATTCAAAGAGAAACTTGTGGAGCAACTTATTGCAGGAAATTCTTTTCGAAGAAACACTGCCGATAACCTGTCAGCGATTGCTGCCCAGCTACCAGATATCCACTTCAACCGTGTGCAGTTCCACCATCCTGTGAAAACTAACACTCACAAAAAGTGTAAGGTACACATACAACGGGTGGAAACAGTCTATGAGTGTGCAGTTTGCCAAGTGCGTATGTGTCCAGCACCTTCCTTCGAAAGATACCACACTTTGCAAGAATATCTATTTGACGATCCCGGAAGATATAATTCTGCTAAAAGGCTCAAAGATGTGACTGGTAGACCAAGGGCTGGACCAGGCAGACCTCCACAGAGGAGGTCAAGATAAATTATGGCTCCTTGCAGACCTTGATGCAAGTACGGCAAAGTTATGTTTCTAAAGTCAGAATAATGGTAAACTGAACTGAACTGTGAACTGGCTTTAAAACTTTTTTTTAAGAAATTTAAGTTTACCATCCACATCTACTCAAGAGATTTGCATTATTTGTTGTTGTTCAGTGCTTAAGACATGCTTTTGCAGATATAGCAGTTGATATTAAGAAAGAATCATGTTCCAAAAAAAAATGTTAGTGTCCAAAACTCAACCAGTTTAAAAAAAAAACTGTTTTATTTGCCTTTCTGGATTTTTCAGATTTTTTCTTTAAGAAATAATAAGTACAATTTTGCACTAGAAGTGCAGGATCTCTTCTTTTTAAAAATGCATGGGTTCATGGGGTTTAATCGTATTAAAAAAAATTACAGTGGAAAAACTGGTGTCGTGTTTAAAATTGCGGGAAAAATACCCCTCCCCCCAGGTTTTTTTTTTGCTGGATAACCTTTTCCTTGTTACAAACATCATGGTCTGCGGTTCAAAGTCCCTGTGGAGAAGGAATCCCATCTTGTGGAGAGAACTGACTTTAGGGAGACTATTTTCAAGGTTGGTAATTGCCATGAGCATCCATTTTTTGTCATCACTTATAGAGTATTGGAAACATCATTAAGTTTGGGGCACCCCTGAATTTGCAAAGGTGATGCCAAGAAACAGACTCCTGGATATAAATATATATATTTACATCTGAGAGATAACTCTAAGATACCAGCTTGTGACTCTGCTGACGGAGAAACACTTTACCAACCAAGGCCATTCCTAGCGAGCTTAACAGCCAATTTATTTCACTGTTATAACCCATATAGCAAGTAGGCAGTGGAAGAAGCAAGGATCCAGTATAAGAGGTGCACCTCTCTCAAACAGTATATGCCAATGAAATCCATCAAACATGTAATGAAAAGCTGAACCTCAGAAAACCTGAGGTC